GAGTATAGCTTTTCCTTTCTTTTGGTCTTTGTTCCATGTCATTTGACACATATAGTGCTGAGTTATGATTAATTATGCAAAAAGAAGTCTAAACGGATGTAATTGAGTTACAGCCATTTTTAACATTATATTTTTCATTATTTCACATGGTGCACAACAAAAAGAAAGGTCTGTATATTACCTCTTTTAACTTATTTATGGGCAAACTTGGTATTAAATGAAAGGAAATTCTTTATAGAATACATTTTTGATATAATCTCAGTTTTGATAAGGTACCACTGTCACAACTTTGAGAAGCCATATCTCTAATTGATAATTCCCGCAGATAGCCTGGTTTTCTCATATCGGGTCACATATTGTGAAAACACATTATTTTTAATTTTTGTTGACATACACTATTAATTTTGTATTGATTTCAAAGTTCAAACAAGTGTTTTTTACACAAAATTTTTTTGTTACATACAAGTGAACATGTAACTTTAGCAAGTAAGGTAGAGCTAGTGAATGTCAGCCAAATTAATTGGTGGTAGTTTGTAGTACTAAAATGCAATATGTAAGGACACCAGAATTGCCAAAATTGTGAACAACTGATAATGTGCTTGATCCCTTCCTGACCAGCTCTACACAACCTATTATGCATGCATGCTTCCATTTGTTTGCATAGGCTAGCTATTTTTAACAAAAGGGCATTCTAAAAAATTAATAATAATAATAATAAAGATAACCGTCCACTACTAAAGTCCTTAGTTCATCAAAGCCTAGTCTCCTCCCAATCAAGACACATCTACATTAATAAACAAAGTTATTAAAAAAAGGGAAAATCCTATTTTGATCAGAATGAGCTCAAACTTAATACAGAACTTTAGAACATGCATACATGTACATGCATGTATTAAAGGAAATTGTACAAAAAGAGACTTCTTTTCATTTTTAAACAAAAATTGGCTCTAAAGTCACTCCAAATTTTTGAAACATTTTGATGCCCTTATGCTATGTAGAAAGTTTGAGCTGATTCTGACAAATATTTTTACCTTGCAACTGGCTGAATATTGAGTGCTTGAGTTTACCAACTGACTCAGGATAGACCCGTCCCAATAGCTCAATAGTCATAAACCAGACACCCAGTAAGACACACACTGCCAGGGAATGACTGGCCTCACAAGATACCACATCCTTTGATAGAACTAAGAGGAGGAGGACAGGAGAGGACATGTACATGTACATACAGTACATGATGAATGCAAATAAAATTGACATACATGTACAAGTACATTCTAAGTTAAACTGAGATAAAAAGCAATAACAATAACGAGACACCTACGGTGCGTGGCCTCACCCCTATAGCTGTTTGATTATCAAAATTAAAAGAACTTTAGCATGCAAATTGCATATATACATAAAAAAGTGTACTCCTGAGGGATAGCAGCTAGCTTGCATAGATCTACCAGACTACCTGCAGAAGTAGCAGCATATGGAACGCCAAATGCGACAAAAATAAAAAAGAATGGTTTACAATAAAAAGAAATCTTGGCGATGCGCGAAGCGCATCGCCTCATTAATGCATCGATTTCATGATTGATTTTTTGATCGATTTTCATGTCACGTGAGCCTAGCTAGCCAGGCCAGCCTAGAGGCGTGTCTAATTAAGATGGCTGATATGGACATTAGACAAGCCATTAGGTACAGACCGTTGCCATCTTGGATAACTCCGTCTTCGTCCGTTTTAGCTAACTACGCCTACTACTCCACCCAAAAATTAATGATGTTAACACGTGTGCTGTAATCCTGTCACTGCAGTCTTTCTTCCTTCGTTTCTCACCATTTCTCTCGTCGTTTCTCACCTTTTACTGTGTTTTTCTTTTCACTTGGTACCTCTCTTGTCACTTGTGCTGTATGGCTACGCCTTCTCCTTCGATTTTTTGTTCTTTTGATGATTGTGACATATCTTTCTTCACTCGGGCTATCAAGGCATATAAAAAAGAAGCACCCCGAGAAAGAAGTCACTAGTAGACATCTTGAGTGTCATTTGTGCAAAATTCAGTAAGTTA